CACACACACACACACACACACACACACACACACACACACACACACACCTAGAAATACAAATGTTCTAAAAAACAAAAAGAGCATTCATTTGAAAGAGTGTCCTCAGGTTAGTTTAGGAGTCATTGAGAAAATGTTTCTTTGGCCAACTTGGTGACTTTTTACATGGGAGTTGGGGATTCAAACTCAGGTTCTCACATTTGCATCGCCACTCCCAATGCCCTACAACTACATTTTATGAGCTTCTTAGGGTTATTATATGGAATAACAGATTCAGTCTCGGATGCTATGCATTTAAATACAAGTTGTATGGGTCCTTAATAATTTTAAGTGTATTAAGAGGTCTTGGGAGATAGAGGCAGATGGATCTCTGAATTCAAGGCCAGCCAAGGTCTATGTAGTAAGTTCCATGACAGCCAGGGCAAACACAGAGAAACCCTGTCTTCAAAAAACAAAACAAAACAAAACAAAACAAAACAAAACCACCAAAAGCAAAACAAAACCAACCAACCAACCAACAAAACAGAGGTCCTTATAAAAATTTCTCAAACTTCTGCCTTAGATGAGCATGCTGTCTTCTGAGATCATATTTCCTGAAAATCTGCTATAGTCACTAGGCAATAGTAATAAATGAGAGCCACAATACTGATGTTAATTAGTAAGGCTAGGCACCCTGTTCTGTAACACACACACACACACACACACACACACACACACACACACATACACACACACCTATTCCAAATTGTTTGAAACTAGAAAAGTTTTTGTTTTTCTCCAGAATGTGGAATATGTGCATACGAACAAGACACTGTTGTAAAACAGAACCCTCCAAGTATAACAGCCACCATTTTACATTTTAATGAGATCTCCGTCTTATACACCTATGATCTGAAGGCGTCGTTTTAGACATTTTGACACAGGCACACTGTTTTCATTCCAGTTGTGGAATTTCCCACTTGTAACAGGATGTTAATGTTCAAAAGATGTTTAGATTGTGAATCATATTGGATATTCTGCTCAAGAATGCTCAGTGTGGGCTGGCAAAATGGCTCACTGGGTAAAACTCCTGCTATGAAAGCTTAGGGATCCTAGTTCAACTCTCCAGAGTGTAAAGCTAATAATGGTGAGGCACACCTGTAATCCAAGTGCTCCTATGGTGTCCTGGTTGGGTTTTTTTGTTAACCAGACTGAAGCTAGAATAGTGGTTCTCAACCTTCCTGATACTGCCACCCTTTAATATAGTTTCTCATGTTGTGCTGATCCTCAACCATAGAATTATTTCATTACTGTAATTCTGCTACTGTTGTGAATCATAATGTAAATATCTGATATGGAGGATATCATATGTGATCCCCCAATGGGGTCATGACCCACAGGTTGAGAACCATTGAACCATAGTCATCTGTGAAAAAGGAACCTCAATTGAGAAAATGCTGTAGGCAAACCTGTGGAGTATTTCTTAATTAGTGATGGATGGGGAAGGGAAGGGCACAGCCCGTTGTGGGTGGTGCCAGCCCTGGGCAAGTGATTCTGAGATGTATAAGAAAGCAGGTTGAGCAAGCCACAGGGTGCAAGCCAGTAAGCAGCAATCCTCCATGGTCTCTGCTTCAGTGCCTATCTCTAGGTTCCTGCCTTGAGGCCCTGACTTTCTTCAGTAGACTGTGATGTGGAACTACAAGCTGAAGTAAATCCTTTCCTCCCTTTTGGCCATGGTGTTTTATCACAGCAACACAACTATGGCAACATAGGAGGCTGATGGCCAGTTAGTCTGGCACACCAACAAAGAGACCACGTGCCAATCAAAATGGCAGGTGAGGATCAGCATCTGAGGTTGCCACCTGGTCTCGACATGTGCACCATGAAATGCACAGCCCGTGCTCATACACATGTGCGCACACATACACATGGACTTATGTCATATGCAGAGCAAGGAAAGCTCAGTGTGTGTGTGTGTTTTAAACCTTTGTTAATCCTATAGGACTAGTACAGTTATCCCTCAACAGATGATGTCAGCCAGCAAATAAGCCACTACCACAGCTAGTGAGTGCTGAAACTTGATCCAGACCAACAATCACTGCTGTTGGCTAATGGCTCCTGAGAGCAATTCTGTCTGGGTTACAATTATCCCCAACTTTACAAATTGTTTTATAAAATAACTTTCAAATATATTAGTTCCTTTAATTCTCACAGTTCCATAGGTGACACAGCTCCCCTTAGAGATGTGTCCAAAGACTGTGTTCTTTTCATTGTTTTTTACACTGTTTTGTTTTGTTTTGTTTTTAGTTATTCTCATTAAAGCACCCAAATGCTGCTCAACACTTTCATGAATTTTCATAGCTATTATTTGCTTTTGTCACAGAGTAAGTATACTCCAACTAGTCTGGAGCTATTTTTTGCAAAGGGTTAGAGAATAAATGCTTCAGGTCTTATAGGCCAAGGCATCAAATAATGAATGTTCCGTAGATACTAACATAATCAGATAGAAAACATATCCCCACAATCTTTATTTATTATTTTATGTCTGTGGGTGTTTTGTCTGCATGCTTGTCTGTGTACCCTTTGTGTGCCCAGTTCCTGTGGAGCCAGAAGAGGGAGTCAGATCCCTAAAACTGGAGTTACAGATGATGGTGAGCTGTCATCTGAGTGCTGGGAAACCTACCTTGGTCCTCTGGAAGAGCAGCTAATGATAGCTTCTGAGCCATGTCTCTAGCCCATCCCACAACTTTTATTGATGAAATTAAAGATGCAATAACAATAAATGGGTATACCTTTTTAAGTAAATACCCAATAAAAAGAATTTATTATATATATATATATAATATATATATATAATATATATATATATATTTTGAGACAGGGTTTCTCTGTGTAGTCCTGGCTGTCCTGGAATTCACTGTGTAGACTAGGCTAGCCTCAAACTCACAGAGATCCACCTGCCTCTGCCTCCAGAGTGCTGGGATTAAAGGCATGTGCTACATTTAATCCCAGCTGAATTTAATTCTTTTAAATAATTTGAATAGCGTTTAGCTTATTTGGAGCTCCAAGTTTTTGGTGTCTATCATCAAACTGATTACAATATTCATTTATAAAATTATTCTTAATCCTGGGTTGTATCAAGAACAGCAAGAAGGGCAGAATTGGCTTGTGGCTGCGATTACGGGGCTGCTGATGCAGGGTATTTGTTCAAACCTGATACCCAAAGCAGCAGTTTCTTCATCATTCCTTCTCTGCCCACCATTTCCTTGTACATTGGAGACCCAGTTAATGGAATTCTTTACCATCTCATTGGCCAAGACAGAAACAAAACCCATCAGGACAGGTAAGGAAACAACTGGCACCTGAAACCTCTGAGCCTCTGCTGCCAACACCCCACTTCTCTCCCGTCCCCAGCAGCAGCAGCCACAAACCAAGTTTTTAGAACTAAATCTGTGATCTGTGTTTATCACTCACCTCTGTAAGCCGCTAGGGATGAACTAGCCCTTTTTCTTCGAGAGGAACTCCTGGACAACTGTTTCCAGTATCACTAAACTAAAGGGCATATCTGACAAAATAAAATACTACATAGCCAGTGCGGGGGTGGGGGGTTAAGGGATGGGAGAGAAGAGGACTAAGGTCCTCCACACACAGATGACAAGAGACTTCGGGAACCTGAGCTTCTGCTCAGGAGGGTTGTCTGCCTCTTGGAAAATTTTTGCTGAGTTCAGGAGACATTTGTCTGACATTCCCTCTTCCACAAATGGGGCTACACCTTAGGGCTGTGGAAGGAATCTACACTCCTGGGGTGTTGAGCACAGAATCACCCCCCCCCCAGCTCCTAGCACGAGAGCAACATCCCTCCAGCCCCCCTCCCCTTTCCCACAGGTCGGCCTGAGGTGCCCCAGTTTTCCGAATTTTGGTGCCCAGCAACTCACAATTAAAGGCAGGGAACACATGGTGAAGAGCACGGTCATGAGAGCCAGCAGCACGAGGTGGTCCAGCTCCTCCAGGGGATGCAGGGACCCGTGCCTATAACCGGAGGCCGGCTGGGCGCGGTCCCTGGGGCAGCAGCGAGGGTAGTGCCTCAGGCGCCGGTGCATGGTGTAGAGGTTGTGCATGGCACCTAGGTTGCACAGCACGGTCGCGAGGACCAGCAGCGCCATGAGGCTGGCGTAGAGCACAGAGAAGCCAACTACCGAAAGCGAGCGCTTCTTGTGGACCATCTGGATGAAGCACCAGGTGCCAGGACAGTACTGCACGAACTTCCCAAAGCCGGCGAAGGGGAGCGAGCAGAGAGCCAAGCAGAAGGCGCCCACGACCGGCGCCACCAGCGCTCCCCGGCGCAGGGTGATGTGCCTTTGGTAGAAGAACGGGTGTCCCAGAGACAGCCAGCACTCCAGAGCCATAGCCAGCAGCTGTAACGTCGAGGCTAGCCCAAAGAAGGACATGATGAAGGCGAAGCCTTGACATAACTGATTGCCCGGGAACGGCAGCAGTTCCTGTAGGCTCCGGTTTTGCGCGTAGGCAGCCAGGACCACCGGGCTGATCAGGCACTTGCCCAGCAAGTCGGTGACAGTCAAGCCACACACGAGCACGTAGAAGACTGAGGGCGGGCGCAGTGGCCTCTGCCGGCCGGACCCCAGCCCCGAGCGTGCCAGCAGCACGAGCGCCAGCAGGTTGCCCAGCAGCCCGGCGCCGAAGAGCACACCGCCCATCGTCGGCGAGGAGCCCATTTCCACCCATGTGAATGCGTGGCAGCGATAGGACTCGTTCATGGCCCCTGCTGCGTCCGGCCGCGCCAGATGTGAAGAAGCCCGGGGCCGCTCCTGGCGCTGCTGGGACACAGAGGTAGCAAGGTTGAGAAAGCTCTCCTCCTAGCTCCTAGTCACACCCCTCGGGAGGGCGGGACGCCGCCTGGCCGTGAGTATCTGGCGCTGCAGAGCTAGAAGCAGCTCTGTTAAGAGCTCTGCCCTGGTGCACAGCGTGAGACAGACCCTAAGTTGGAAGGAGAGGGACAAGTACCACAGAATCTGAGTACCCGAAGCCGCTCCTTCAGAGGAAGCAAGAGAACTGCAGATTTGGAGAAGGAACTGACTAGGAGCCCATGGGAAACCCTGGTGCTGCTGGTGGCCCACCTCTGCAGATGAACCAAGCCTGGGGGCTGAGAAAGGGCCATGGTCCATTTTTCACAAACTAGATAACTAACATTTGCAGCACTCTTGGGCTTGGTCCCAAATCTCTTTTAGATATCTGCAACGTGGAAATTAACCATGAGGCAAGGAAACAGGGGCATCTGCTGTTTCAAGTTAGGCATCTGCTTAGGGTGGCAGAGGTCAGACGCGACAGAGTCAACCAGGAAATTAGGTATCTATTTAGTCCACCTGTCCTTCCATGGCTCCTCTTCCTCAGAGGCTCACCAAATTTCAGGGCTAGCTTTTTCTGTACTTGGAAAACGAAGAGGTGATATTGATGTGGGTACCAGAAACCACAGTGACTGAGTAGCCAGGGTGGCAGGGATATGGTTAACAGCGCTGAGGCTCTCACGAAGCCCTGGATGTGCTGTTACCGTTTGTGTGATTTGCTTCCCAAACAGTAGCATCTGTTCCAGTCGTGTGGACACGTGACAAGCCCTCGGTGAAAGTGGTTGTCACAATTTTATTTAGGGGGAAAGCATTTTTCTGATTGTTCGTTTTGGCTGATAAGTAGCTGCAAATTTAACGTGGATTTTGAAACCAGAACTTATTAGTCTTGTTTTAGAGCATTCCCACTGTTCTGATCTGTAACTACTGGAAAATATGCCTTCCTTTCTAGTAGTGGGTTGCCGTCATAAAAAGGGAGGCAGGGTTAACTGGGATGTTTTATTTAACACTCCATATCCTGAGACAGAAACTGGCTTGCAGCGTGGAATTTTAGAGGGATAATTTGGGCCAAATTACATAAACAAGTAGATTATGTCTTCATTTGGGGTGCTCCCTGCCCATTCTGCTGGACAGAGTCAGGGGGAGGTCAGCACCCTGAGCTTCATATATGGAATCCTGAAGGGAGGGCAGAGAAGCTGACTCCAGATGAAAGCCTGGCCAGCAATTCAGGCCATAGGGCAGGAAGAGTTCAAGTTTTGGAATTCCACAAGACCTTTAGGATGCTGGCTTAGTGCTTCAACTTCAGTTGTTGAAGTGTCCTTATCTGTAGGGCATGGGACTTCTTTGACCTCAGAGGATTGATATAAGGCTGAGGGGGAAAAAAATGAAGTGCTTGGCACAGAGTAATGACAACAAAAGCTAACTTTGAGGGCCTTGTCTATGCTGGACAACCTCCAAGACTTTTTCATTTTGTTTACGAAGGTTCTGCATAGTGTTAGCTCCATGTCTTGTGCCTTCTCTCTCACTCCTGTCTCCCAGCAAATAATCATGAACTTAGACAAGTCCCATGTGAGTATGACAGAGTGGCAGGGGAAGGAGGTCCTATAGCTGGCAATGAAGGCTGATGAAGGCTGGGGTCTCTTCTCTAGACAGACACACAGTTTATATCAATGTCAGAAATTCACCATCCCCTGAGGCCCTGCTGTGGTATCTGGGGGTGGGCAGACCTCGCAAACTCAGTTGAAGAATCCTGCCACTGAGGGCATTGCTTGGGCTTTCTTCTGCAGAACACCCACTTAGATTCTTGGCGGCTTTCTCTCCTTATTCATCTGTAGTGGTCTGTACTCCAAAGGTGCAGGGCAGAGGGAGAGAGGAGCCCAATCATGTGAATGACTTTTTGAAAACAACCCCAAATATGAGCTGTGGCTCCCTGGTGTGGTTTACACATGTTGTGCTTCAAAGATTGAAGGTTTGAACGGGTACAATTAGGGAAACCACACATTTCCTCCTGGCTAATTCAGCTGGCCTTTACCACGGGTTTCCGGCAGCCTTTCCTGCCTTCTTTGCCACTGTCCACCCAGCCCTCAGCTTAACAGCAGAGTTGTCAGTCTCTGTTCCTAGATCCTATCCAACGACTTTACTGTAGAGCAATTAAACTATCATTTCTTCTTGCATCCATCTTTTTGCTCTCCTACTCCTGCCAGGCAAAGAAGAGGACTGGGTGGGTCCCTAGACTCTTACAACTAGAAAAAGAAGGCAAACATATCATGTGACCTTTACAGTCTTACATGATTTCATATCCGCTTTTGGAGTAAGCAAGCCCAGCTTCTGTTTGTCTTAGAAACTTCTCATGAATATGTCTTAGGCTCTTGTCATGCTGTGCATGGGTAGCACATGATGTCGGTGATCGGGAGGATATGGGAGGTTTCCTGGAGTCTCCTCTTTGGGACTCATGAAGCCTACCATCTCTAGATTTTAGTTTCCATGGGATGAACGATTATTTGTCTTGAGCATGCTTCATAAACACCTGAAAAGGTGGCTCAGCAGATAAAGGTGTTTGCTATACAAGCCGGACAGCATGGGTTTAATCCATGGAACCCATATAAAGGTGGGAAGGGAGAACTGACTCCACAAAGTTTTCCTCTGACCTCCACATGGCCACTGTGGTATGCTCTCTAATGTCATATGCACACAATAATAAAGTTTTTTTAGTTTATTTTTTTATTAGAAATACTTAGAAAGATATAAACACGTCTGTTGCTGCTGCACCCGGACCAAGTACAGCAAACATTCTGAGAGTACTTTCTGAGCTTCGGAAGTGTTTTTGTTTGTTTGTTTATTTTTTGTTTTTGTATATTCCTCCAGCTAACTGCTCTGCACCGAGAATGTTAAGCACATGCTCTGTAAAGCCCTGAGGTCATGTTAGTCAATTTTTCTTACAACCCACACCACAGAAGCTTCAATTACTTGTTTTCAGGTAAGAAAAATGAGACCCAGAAAAGTCATATAACCAACACATCATGAGTGCAGGATGGGATCCCAGTCCTTTCTGATTTCTTCGCTTCGAAAAGGACGTTGAGAAGTGAGAAAGAAAGTGGGAACCTGTGATTTCCATGACCCAATCAGAAATCAGAGCCACAAGCCCCACCAGTCAGAAACATGCCACCCTGTATTTCTGTGGTCAGTTAGTATCTTGAGCTCTGGTCGGCCCCAATGTCATTTTGGCATCTTTGGCAAATTTGTTAGCATTTTAATAGTATCTTCATCTCCTCTATTCCAATACTATACAACCAGCCAATCCTTTTGCTTGGCAAGAATCTACACCCACCACACACACACACACACACACACACACACACACACACACACACAAACACACACACACACACACACACTCGTTCAAATTGAGAAAATAAATAAAACTTCCAGAAATTTTGAGACCTGAGTTAGGTCTTGGCCAATCTTTCTAACCTTCTCTGTCCTTGTGTGAATCAAGATAGGTTTCTCTGTGTTCTAGGAACTGAACTTGAAGAAAACATAATTTAATCTTCTTGTGGATGTAGCTTAAGCCCTAAGGATCAGGGTGAAGTCTGAACTTGCCGCTGGGAGATGGGGCGAGAGTAAATAAACAGTTGAACCATGGCTTGTTATCTCAGTTACAGGCTGTGGAGCCCCACTGACTACTGAGTCTCTTCAGCAGGTTGATGCTGGCTCTAAAGAAGCTGTTGGCAGATGCAGTTGGTAGGGTTGCCAGCAGAGCCAACCCCAAGTTGGAGATTAGGATAGGACTGTAGGGTGTTTAATTTGAGATTAACACCTGGAGAAGGGAAGGGGTGGAAGCTGGACTGACAAAGAAACAGGACTTTGATCCTTCTGACAAAAGCCCTTCACTGGACAACTGGACAGTTCACCTGGTGGCTACACACTAACAGCTTTGATTTAGCTGTCTGTCGTCTGGTCTCAGAATCTTAGCTCTTCCCTTCAATGGTGCAGTGGTCTTCAGATTCTTCTCAGAAGTTCTTTGGTCTTGTACCAAATATAAGTTATGCACTCTCAGGCTCTGTCAAAAGCTCACACACAGTGTTTACTGTATGGTGTATTTGTTTGTATATTAGGTGATATATTTCTAGGGCCATCTGTGTCCCAGCTAGGCACACAAAGAAGGTCTTAGTGAATATTTACTGAATGGATAAAAACTTCATGATCCCTTCTCCTATTTTTCTATACCTTAAAAGAAAGGTTCTATATCTGAGTCTTAAACAATTTGAGGCTGTTATTCTTTTTTTTCTTCACAATTTATTCATTATATATCCTAATTGACACCACCTCCCTCCACTCCCCCAGTCCCTCCCTCCCTTCCTTTCTCCCTCATTCCCTCCCCCTACTCCACTGAAAGGAGGAGTTCTCCACTATTGCCATCTGCCCAGAGCTTGTTAAGTCTCATCAGGACTGCCTGGATCCTCTTCCTCTGTGGCCTGGCAAGGCTGCCTCACCAGGGGCCAGTGATCAAAGAGAAGTCAAGTGAGTTCATGATAGAGGCAGCCCCTGCTCCCCTCACTCAGACATCCACATGGAGACTGAGCTCCCAGCCGGCCATATCTGAGCAGGGGGTCTAGGTTTGAGGCTCTTATTCTAAGAAGCAAGGATCTGTGCAACTATTAGGCAGAGTCCAGGTGAAATAAATACAAATTGTATGAAGATTAGAACCCAAAGTTATTTTAAATGCCTGGAGGGAGCTGTAGAAGAAGATCCAAATAACTGGCTGTTTTCTGTATCTGTGCTATTAGCTGCTGCTAATTCATGAATTATTCAAAATGACATGCTTTAATTTCATCAGGGAATAAACACTCAAAAGTTGTAAACACCCAATTTTAAGAATGAATGGTTATCACTAGGGTGGAGAAGAAGGGAGGAGAAAT